CCGAGCAGCGCAATGGGCCGTTTCCCCCCGTCAGGTTTCGGGATAAGGGCGATCAGCGCAAAGAGCTGCTGGAACGGCAAAGTGCACTGCTCCTCAATGGACTCGAGTAGCTGTATTAGGTGAGTCTTGGCATCTTCGCTAGCCTCCTTAATTAAACGCGGCTCAATAAAATCCAAACCCTGACCCCTAGAGTCAGGCATCGACGTGGGCGCACGATTGGGGGTATGATGGTCGATGGGTGGCAAACGCGGGGACGACCGAGCACGCTTACGCAGGGCAGCCAACGCAGCCCTGGCTTCAGCCTTATCGTGCTGCTGCCAGATGGCCGTCCACGCGGCTGCTTCAAAATTTAGAAGCTGATCCAGGGCAGAGCAGGGCCCATCCTCACCGATCTTTTCGGCCGACAGGGGGTCCAGGGGGGGCTTAAGCAAACGGTGGGCCGGCCCCGCAGACCTGAGGAGCGCGCCCTGGAGCCAAGCCTTCCACGAGGCCTTCTGAGCCTGAAGGGCGTCACGGTGGGACTTCTCAGACACCTGCTGAAGTTCAGATAACAGGTCGTGCAGCCCGTCGAAAGGTATATCGGGAATCTGCTGAAACCGAGTCCCCCACAAGTTAAAGGCGCCACACTGGCCAGCATCTGAAGGATCCGACGGGGAGGGGGGCACCTGCTGAGAAAGCCAAGCCAGAGTGGCACGAAATTGAGCAGCGTGCTTTCGGCGAGGGCGCGGCGGGATGTCATCAATGGAGTCCTGAGGGACAAGCTTGAGCAACAGCTTAAGCTTGACAAAGGCGGCCTGCCAGCAACGGGCGTCACGATCGGCCTGGCAGGGCCCCTCAACCTGGGCGGCCAAGAGGGGCACCCAACGCAACCTGGGCTCCTGGCAACGACCAATGTACTGGAAAACCTGGTCCTGAGTCAAGCCAAGCTTCGAAAACGCCTCCAGCTCAAGAGCAACCATCCAAGTAGACAACTGGGCCCCTAAATCGAAGGAGACCTGAATGTTGTCATGCTCAAGCTTAAGGAGACTGGCAGCAGCGTAGTTGGCCGTGAAGAAGCCTGGCCGCTTACGTTGCAGCAGCTGAGCCTGCACCAAGAAGTGCGGCCAGGCTTCTACAGGGGCAACAACGCCTTTGACAGGCAGAGGTTTAGGTGGCATGGCCTTCCAAACCTTGATGGCCCTGGGAGACGCCGAGACTAAAAACCCTAAAGCAGCATGCGTGCCCCAAGGCACTGGAATGAGCGACCTAAACTGGACGGCACTAGAAAAGCAAGCGGAGACAAAGGCGTAATCGACCCGACTGGTGGTGACTCCAGAGCACGTAACGGAAACACCAGGCATAGGAACAGGGACGAGGCCGAGGGGCTCCAGCCAACCTGACTCCTCGAGAACACTCTGGTCAACCTGCCAGTCACCCACCACGAGGGCGGGAACACCTGTCGCGCTCAGATGGGCGCCGAGGTCTGCCAGCAGCTCGAGGTTCTGACCGTTGAGCTCACCCCCCGTGACCAGGTAGACAGGGACGATGGTCAGGGAGACCTTCCGAAGCCTCAGAGTGCGCAGTAGCCACCGAGCCGTACCAGCGGTAGTCCATTCACCCGCCTCACAAGTAAGTTGCGAGAGCCCAAGATGCGAGCGGGCAGCCATAAGGACACCTGACGATGCATCATCAGCAAGCGTGGGCTCAGCGGCCTGCGCCACAACTTTCCAGCCCAGCTTATGTAGCTTCTTGACCATCGCCTGGAACTTGGAGACGCGCATCCTGTGCTCCACGAAAATGATGATATCCGCCGAGCACCCGGCAACCCATCTGCACGCAGTGGGGCCCCACACGCTGATGTTGGAGTAGACAATGAACAAAGAGCGCTGAGGGGCGGTGCCGCAGCCACTGTCTGGGTTGGGCACAGAGCCATGACCCTCACTATCGACTTGCAATACTTGGTCGCCGTCCGACCCGCTGGGTTCACCACAGGTAGACTGCTCCAACCCCGCAGTCATAGCTGGCGTGGTCGGCCCAGCAACGAACACACCAGGCGAACCAGGATTCCCAACAGCACATACAGGAGATCCACCAGTGGCGACAATGGCCTCGGTAGAAGCCGTACCCGACCCAGCAGCCGCCACCGAAGAGGAACCCGCACAGCAAGCACATGTGGCGTCGTCCGCCGCGCCTCCAGCAAGACACGCGCCGCGGGATGCCGTGCTGAGGTCTTGGCTGAGCCAACCTGCAGCAGGTGCCTTCCGCGGGGTCATTGCCTTCGCAGGCGCGGTGAGTGAGCGCCCAACGCACGAAATCGAAGAAGACAAGGAAGCACCAGAAGAGGTCGCCACAAGCGGGGCCGAGGAAAAAGAAACGCCAGCCGTCGAAGAGGACGGTGCCGAAGAGAGAGAAACTGAAGAGGCCGATCTTGAGAAGGTACCAGGAGCCGAGCTGCAGGTAGAATCGCTGTCACACCCGTGACCACCTTTAGCAGAGCTAGGAACTAGGCTCGCGAGCCTCA